GTGTGTGTGTGTGTGTGTTTGCTGGTGCTTTTTGGGGTCACACGCATGGAAACAGTGATGTGAATGACCTCAGCACGAACAGCAGAATCATAAACAACAACATCATCACAACTAAACATGGTAAGGTTGACAAACTAAACAGCAAGGCGCAAGGCACTCTCTCACTAGTCAGTATCAATCGTAGAAACAGGCAGTGTCGATGACACTGCCCCATACACAGCAGCACCTTAGGGACCCCTCAAGCACAGCATCTTTTCTTTGATGCTACATGTCATTTGGTCACTGTCGAAAGATCCATGAAGAGACCACATCTAGCAGCCGCAAATGTTAGATCCCAGCACTACCTCCAAGCCATGCAACCCTGAACGCTGATCCCGCACACGAAAAAGGAACCGTCCCAAACCCTAAAACCTTATACCCCGCCAGCCCTAAGACCTCCGAAAATCCAGCTACTAAAGCCCCTGAAGAACCCTAAACCCTAAACCCTAAAACCCTAACTAAACCCTTCACCCGACGCCCTGAACCGCTTGAGCCTCGAAGACGAAGCGCAGCTCCGTCTCCTTCTGCTCGATCGTCTGCTTCACGCGAGCGAGGCCGGCAGCCTTTCAACAAAAACACTCCATGGGGTCTTGTCAAGGCTGTAAACATAGAGCTACTGTAACTGGTAAAGTAATTAGTCAGCATCGGATTTAGGCGGATATTCTACTATAATCGTGATCAGAAAAGAAAGGTGTACTATTCTAACCAGCCGTACGAACCCCATATTACACCTGCACAGGATTTCGACTCTCCCCTCTCGCCAGGTAGGCAAATCTTCGGACCAGTAGTGCGTCGCGCTTTGGTGCATTCCGGGTTCAGGGTTTAAGGTTGGGCTTCGTGGTTTTGCAGGCCCTGTTCCTCCCTGCTACGGTCAGCATACCTTGTAGCTAGAGCCTGGTTGGGCTTCAGGGTTCAGAATTTTGGGTGACAGCCCCTGACCTGGCTATTTCGGCATTGGTCCCGAAGCCATCCTCCACTACCCTGCTGTGAAAATGTGCTCGCCATTTTCGGCCTAAAGCTGAACTTATCGGCTTGACCCTTTCAAAACACTGAAACCATAGTCTGGCATGCCTTGGCGAGGAGGAAATTGTAGCCAATTGCCTGCTCCAGGCAGCAACACAAAGCTCAACACAGCTCACTCCAAGAGGCTTCGCAAGAGACCGGTCTAGTTGGGTTTTGGGCTTTCTGCTCGCAGTGGGACTCACGAACTATGGTGCGAGTGACTCCCTCTGTCTCCTTCTTCCAAGCACAGCGATTTCAGGCCCTGACACCAAGCACGCCTTGCTTTGTCCTCCACTCTCTCTTCCTTCGGTTTACCTGCATAAGTGTGCCTGTCCACACAGACATGCATGCAGACGAACGGCCACACCAAATGCCGTACTATTCAAATTCCATCCTACTTGTACAGAAACAGCAATCCAGCTTTTGGAGGCTCATCGGTTAAACCCTGCAAGAAAAATCCCAAACCCCGTACCCTGCGCACAATTTGCCAGTCCGGAAACCCCATGCTCATGGCGCATGCCTGCATGAAGTCGCTGAGGTTTTCAGTGCGTTCCTAAGCAGCATCCGCAACGCAACGCTGACAACTTTCAGAGTGTACGGTGCGCGGGGTAGAATCACACGGCCTACGCAGCAGCGAGATTGGATGGCAGAAATGAGTACTGAACACGGCCAGGATTTCGGGCACAATAGGGCGTAACCCGATGCTGGCCAAGACACCAGTCGCCAAACTCCGCTGAAGTCGGGATGCTTGTCGCTGTGGCCTTCGGGGCTTGTCAGATGTCTTGAAGCATTTTGCCAGCTATAGAACGAAGTTGCTGACACCACGACTCAGCCGAAGCACCAGGTAGTCCTTGAGGCTCCGTTTAATTGATTCTAGCTTTGGCGGCCGAAGAGGCTTGTGATATGCGGGTCATGCAACCTTCCCCACGTGAAACCATGAACCCTAAACCCTGAACCCTGAACCCTAAACCCTAAACCCTATAAACCCTAAACCGTGCATCCAGCGGTCGGCCTCGGGTGTCCGTTGCTTGGGCTGTGCACATGCATCCGTTCCAATACCTCCAGAGGCAGCATGGGGGTAGGGGGGTAGGGGGGTTGGGGGTTGGGGGGGTGGGTTTAGGGTTTAGGGTTTAGGGTTGGGGGTGGGGGGTGGGAGGATGGGCGCAATGTTGAACATTTGAGATGATGAAGAAGCGAAAGCGCAAGAATCACATATGCAGCGGTAGCTTATGACCATCTGACTGGATATCAAATAATGACCGGTTATTATAATGACAAGCAGCAAGCGGTGAGGCACAAATGTAGCTGATGAAGTAAGCGAACATAGCAAGCATGGCGGTTGGTGGGCTGACACTGATGATGAAACCTGAACCCTAAACCCTAAACCCTAAAACCCTAAACCCTAAACCCTAAAACCCTAAAGCCCTAAACCCTAAAAGCCCTAAAACCCTAAGCCTTGTTCTTCATGTGTGCCTTTTGGTCACTTCGGCCCCTTGAGCTCCACCCAAGGCAGTAGGAGTCTCTCCGCATGTCATCCTAGCTACTTACAGGATCATGGGACTTAGTAAGTAGGTTTATAAATAAGGTAACTATACTTATTTTTACTTATAACCCCAATTAAGGGACTAATAACCTTACTTACTAAGCCCCATGATCCTCCAAGTACGCATCCGCGGAACTCTGGATCCTGTCCGCGGCCTCATATAGACCTTAGGAGCCCCTATAGACCTTGAAACCTCAAGTTCAAGTGCATGAACCCTAGACAGAAACACCAAACCCTAGAAGTTTAGAAAGATTGCTGAACTCTATAACCCTTGGACCTTAGACTCTTAGACTAAGCCTAAGTCCAACAACACAACATTTTTGTTCAGCACGGGCTTGGGGTGTAATTATGCCGGCAAGCTGGACTCTCGAGGACTTCAAACAACAAACACTTCAAACCCTAAACCCTTGACACCCTAAAGCTCAAAGCCCCTAAACTGCCCAAAATCCTTGAAGTCACCCTTTTTTGCATCAGGGCTTGTGCAATCGCCTGAATGTCTGAGCCCACAGAAGTTCAGTTTGAAATAACCCTAAACCCGAAATCTGGACACCCAAAAAATTCCGAAGGAGCCTGGATGCCGCGAAAACTCTGGGCATGGCGCCGGCAAGTACCTGACTTCTGGGGGCGTCGAGTTTAGGCCTTTGGGAGTTGATGTAGGGTTTAGAAATACCCATAGGCCCCATAGTACTTCCTTTTGGGATGACCTAATAGGATCCTAAATATAAGCCACAAAAAGGAACTACTTTGGGGCCTATGGGTATTCACAGTATTTGGTAATTATTCAAGCCCCGTGGGGCAAACCCCTGCTGACAACCCGTGTAAAAACCCCACTTACTATTTTCCGTAAGCTGCCCCTTAAGGAACGCTTATCGCAACTCGCATAGAACCTCTTTAGCAATCCTAGTTAGCAACCCCCTAGACTACTTACTGTCAAGTACCAAAAGATAAAATATATCATCCTAAACCGTAAACCCAAAATCCTAAACCCTTATAAACCCTGAACCCTCATCAGCCCTAAACCCTTATACACCCTGAACCCTTAACCCTTTTCAACCCTCCATCCTAAACCCTTCTCAACCCTTCTCAACCCTTCTAAACCCTAAAGCCTAAAGCCAAGGACATCAACAAGTTGCGGAATCCGAGCCTAGTCAGGCTCGAGGTATCGGGTGCCTGGGCTGATGCCGGGGAGCACGGGGTCGGGGGTTGGAGTTCAGGGTTTAGGGGCTTAGGGTTTAGGGGTTTAGGGTTTAGGGTTTAGGGTTTAGGGGTTTAGGGGTTTAGGGTTTAGGGGTTTAGGGTTTAGGGTTTAGGGCCGCGTTTTGCAAAGGGTTCTAGAAGGGTTCTGAGTGAGTTTAGAGTTTAGGAGTCAGGGTTTAGGGTTGAAAGTCGTTTGCCTCTTTGGGAGACCGTCTTGGTGAATGGGCTTGGGGATGTGACTCAGGGGGTGAGAATCAGGGGAGTACGGTAAAGGGGCTGCAGGTTCTAGAGGAATGTATCCAGGCATTCAGGGCTCCTAAGCTTAGGGGTTTAGTGTGCGCAAACCAGCCGTACAACGGACTGCCACGCTTGCGACTCACAATCTGAAACTCCCATAGCTTGCGTGAGCACATAGGCATCGTGTGTTTTAGAGGTTTGTTGGAGTTTAGGGCTTTACTTTGCGGATGTTTTGACCTTACACTTCACGGCGTGATTTGAGGTTTATGACTCGGAGGTGCATGGCATTATTCCCTTGCCTGCAGTAGTGCCAGAAAGATGCAACATCATGATCCGATTCCCTGACATTTCAGGGTCTAGGGCAAGTTTAGCGTGTGGGCAAGGCAGAAGGAATTCTTGCACTACTCGTGCCTACTCAGCCTATTCCATGTGTCCCAACTCTTCGGAGCTCACAAGAGACCAGAGACTTCGAAATGTATGCTCCTAATGATTTCAACGCATGTCCGCGGCTTCAAAGATCAAGCAGTTGAAGCAAACTCCAACCCTGACTCAAGCCCCCGCAAACACGGAATGCTTGATACCGTCCGTGCCTTACCTCCACCCCTAAACTCCCTGAACCTGTAACTTGAATTCCACTCCCTATACGGGATTAAAACCGAACTACGAGCCATTGCAATATGTCATAGAACATAACAGCCGACCAGGCTTTCTATGCACATCAAGAACGAAAGGACGGGCGAATCAATGCACATGTATAGTAGAAGCTGTACTCTATTGCTGCATGGTTCTACTCGGCTATATTGGCATGCTCATAATCATTATTGTTGTTACTGTTATTTGTAATGTGTCATGTGCGAGTCGTTATTCGATAATTTGGTATCGCCATTGTTATTGCTATTGCTGCTGTTTAATGTTGTTGCTAGTGTTGTTACTGTTCCTGTTACGATTACTGTTACGAGTACTGTGACTGTTCTGTTGATGATGATGATGATGATGATGATGATGATGATGGTGATGGTGATGGTGATGGTGATGAAGATGATGATGATGATGATGATGATGATGATGAGAGGTATTTACATTACTCTGATTGTTGCAATTACTATGACTGACTATTAGCATTACTATGACAACTACTATTTGCATCTCCTGCATAACTTTTCTTATCCTCATGGCAATAGTAGCTGTTCCTACCAAGTAAGATAATCGTTTCCTACATGGGGTTTCCGAAAATAGGGGACCCTAATATGGTACCCCAAATAGTAGGATCGCTATTATAAGGACCCCAAGATAAGGTACCCCTAATTTTCTGAAA